GCACTATCACTTTGCTATGGTTCTGCCGCAACTTAGGAAATGAAATGGTTATCCGGGCAAACAACTCGCCGCGCACCTCACAATCTTTGACTTGCGTCAGTATCTTTGAGCAAGCACAGTATAAGCCTGTAAAGTTAATTGTTCGAATCAGAAGAACATTGCCAGCTGCACGTCTTGAACGCGCAACTTGGCAGGGATGGCAGTTCCGTGCCATAACTTGCTTTCCAACCTTAGGTCATTGTGCACATGCTACACCTTCACGTGGCTCTTAATGTTGAGCTCCAGGCCAATAGCTTGGAACTTCTTTCCGCGCCAAGACGTCATGCCGGAGCAACCGGCATTAAGCTCTGGCCAAGTATGGTTGCTCAATTTACCTCACTTGGCACACTTAGACGGATGAAACTATGTGCGGCAACCGTCAAAAGGGGTCCTAAGGAAGACTCAGAGTCGATTTTGGCATTGTTGGCCAGGTATGCCAGGTTGCCTCGGCCTGTGAAACGATGCCCGCTCTGCGGATCGATCCAGCTCGTACGGCTGTTTTTGCCCCAGACGTAAAGTATCAAACATGGAACCATAAACTACAAACAACAAAAGCTACCACCTCCCAAAAACCGTTCAGCTGCTAGCACTGGAGGACACCCTGACATCTGAATGGAAAAACGGCTTTCAAGCGTTCATGTCCTTCGCTCAGAACAACAGAGAACAAGACATATAGATATAGATATAAATGCATAATAATATGTGATTGAATGCATGATGCTCGTACTAATACGGCCTAAAATCTTCGGCCTCCCACGACCCGCACCTGCGGCTGCAAGCACGGCCCCATGCGAGATCTGGGCCTCGTAGGCGCTTGGGCAAAAATCTCTGGGGCTGCTGGTGCTTCTTGCCTCCTCCCCTCCGGATGTTTCGGTGGGTTGAGTTCGGGCAGTTCGGGCTCGGGCGCCGGTTCCCTCGCCGGCACAAGCACGCCTGGCGCAGGTGTCTGCAAGGGGATCTCGCGTTTCGGCTCGCGGTCCTCCAGGGGCTCCATGCAAGCTGCATCGGCCTCATCATGTGGCGGCCCCTTCTCCTGGGACTTGGAACCTTCTGGCGAAGGAAGAGCAACCTCAATGGCAATCGCCTCTGCAGTGGTGTGGGGTTCTTTGTTGCATTCTTCCATCTTGGTACTCAGCTTCGCCTCCTTGCTCATTGCTGTCGGCATCTCAAGCTTCAGCTGGACTTCAGCGCACGGGGACTTTTTGCCGGCAACGTACAAGGGCAAAGAGCTGTTGAAGCCAGCGGCCACATCACTGCCCAAGACCACCGCATGGAGCGTGTGCACAGACCTCCTTCGCATCTCGATGATCATGACGCTAAACATCAAGACTTGGCCCCTCGCCAAGAACAAGGACTCATCTGAGCAAAAGCTGCCATCAGCTTCCTTCCTCAGCGTGATGGCACTAGAAGGGTCGCCGAAAACCTCTGTGGCAAGAGTGACGGCCACATGCGAGTCTAAGAGCAGTGATGCCTTCAGCTGCTCCAGTGGAATCGAAACGTTTGCAACTTCCACTTCGAACTTGTCTTCCCTCTTCCAGTCAACGAGGTCGTCAAGAGCACCAGATCTGGGGAGCAAACAGATTCCAAACAGGAGCGTCAGCAACACCGGCTGAACCAGCAATGAGGTCAGCACGTTGGTCAGCGAGGATATCAAGAACCTCTCGCCGTCTGAGGGGCTGGTGCTTGCGAGAAAAATGCTGACCACCATGATGCAGAACACCATGTGCAAGGTCATGTATCCCCAGAAGAACCTTGTCCACAACCCCTGATGGGTCCTCCCCCCAAGGTGCACCATGGCCAAAAGCGCCACTAAAGGCATCGCGCCCAACATCGCCGAAATCCACGCGATAAACGCGCTGCGAATGATCTTGTCCAACAAAGGAGAAGGGACATAACAATCAGGCTGATCTGGAGCCAGGGCCGTAGAGCCATAGAAAATGCTCATAACGGCCCAGCCGCTGTAGAGCTTGCCAAAAAGCACGAGGCATCGCTGGACGCAGCTGGCTTTCAGTGAAGGAGTGATGAAGCTGAACCACCGACAGTGCACCTGGTACAGCATGGCAAGCTTTGAAACCAACCGCTGCTCTGTGAAGTGTGACAAAGCGAGCCTTGCTTGCAAATGCCACCCCGTAACACCACTCACTCGTTGCAGCTGATGCAGCTCTCCCACACCAAGTCCCATCTTCCTCTTCAAGAGCTGGCTGGCCACCCGCTTCGATGGATGGAACACTCCCATGACGTGCTCCTTCAGGTCTGCTACAAAGTCTCGCCGGGAGGAGCCATCGGATCGCAACATCTTGATACGCTGAAATCCTTCCAGCACGTCCATGCGCTCCAAGTACTTCCGGTCCAGGCGTCTCGCTGCACACAGCAGGCAAATCCCAATGAACAGCGTGCTCCACTGGACTATGGCCGGAGCCCGCACCGCCCACTGCCACTTGAGTAGCGACTGCAGGCCTTGCAAAGAGAAGATGCCGGCTGCGTTGCTGCACACGATTGCAGACCAGATCTTGCTCACGAGCAGAGCGAAGATGGAGAGGTGAGTAGTGGAACACTCAATCGCGTTTTCAGTGCGAAAGGACGTCGCGATGCCCTTGCTCGACCACAGCTGTAAAGCCTCCTCCCAATACATACATTCCAAAGATTTTGCGTCGCTTGTATTGGGAATCAGCACCGTAAACTGTATGGGCGCGGCCAGTGTGCCATTAATTTCATGCTCCCAGCTGTACAGCTGTATACTCAGGGGAGGAGTGGCCAGGACATCTCCGGAAGCCTCCGTGGAAGCATTGATGAGCTCGATAGTCTCGTCTCCGGGCTGTAGCTCGGCCACGCTGAGCACCAAGTAGTCAGGTCGAGCAGGAGAGGTAAACAGTGCGGTGGGGACCTCTACGGTGTACGAGCTCTCTGAAACACGTATCCAGCCTGCTGCTGTCTCGTTTGGGCCAATCCGTAGCAATGAAGTGACGAATGGAGTCACGCCCTCGTGCGTGAAGGTCACCTGCCCGACCACGCCATACGTCCCTCCCGACGGTGAGGCGCCTTCCGGCTGTGAGGAGTTGGTGCATGCCAAAAGATTCTGGGAGGCTTCCTCTTGCCTGCTATACAGGCTTCCCAGCAAGGCTTCAAGCCCGGTACTGCCAGACGTTACCGTGGTTGCCCCTGTCTGACTCGATGTGGACATGGTTCTTTGTGTGGGAGTGGACCAGCTTGAAGTCGACGTGCTGCTGGACTGTGACGAGGCTGAAGAAACTGACCCAGACGTGCTGGAGGTCGACAAGGTTGATGCCTTGGACGTCAAGGAGGTCGATGACGTCGACGATGAAGTCGACGATGAAGTCGATGATGAAGTCGGTGATGGAGTCCACGATGGAGTCGACGTCGACGAACTTGACGTTAATGTGCTGCTGATGCTGCTGGAGGAGGAGGAGGCGGAGGAGGAGGCGGAGGAGGAGGAGCTGGGGGTCACAGAGGTCGATGAACTCCATGTGAATGTGCTGCTGCTGGAGTGCGATGAAGTCGAGCTGGAGGTCGCAGAGGTCGACGAACTCGATGTAAATGTGCTGCTGCTGGAGCGCGACGAAGTGGAGCTGGAGGTGACAGAGGTCGACGAACTCGATGTAGACGTGCTACTGCTGGAGCGCGATGAAGTCGACGAGCTTGACGTAGATGTGCTACTGCTGGAGGTTGACGTCGATGTGGTCGTCGAGAGGGTGCTTGTGGTTGTTGCTGATGATGATGACGATGTACTAGTTGTAGAGGTGGTGCTTGAGGATGTGCTGGAGCTTGTTGTGGATGAAGTTGTAGATGTCGTGGTTGTTTGGCCTACTCCGGACGCAATGCTGAGGCTTCCAACGGAGGCTTCCCGGCCCGTAGGCACTGCAAAGTCGGTCCTTTGCTGGTGGAGACGCACCATATTGTTGTTTCCTGTTTCCATATAGAGACCCCACAAATTCCACTGCACAGGGTCAGCGGAAGTGGAATCACTCCCAGTGACCCAACTCCAGCTCGACAGCGAAATCGGCCCGGGGAAATTGACGTGTAATCCAATCAGCTGTTCACCAGCTGACTGCTCATACTCCAGCCAGCTCGTGGCGGTGTCTCCATCAATTGCGTTTCCAGGCTCCCCACCAACTGGACTTGTCCCTGCATACTCCCAGGAGGTGGCGGAAGCTCCGGATGCAGAGAAGTCTATCTGCACAGGGGGGTCAGCCACATCCCAGAACTGGATTTCTGCCAGCTGGACTTGATATGAGCCGCTTGTCAAACTTCGAACGGCTGTTGCCTCGAACAGGAAATCACGCCACTGTGCAGCCAATGGGAGGTTAAGCATCATGTAATCGCGAATATCGGGCACATTGCCCGTGTTGGAGTTCTTATACACCAGCACCCAGTTCTCACCGTCTTGAGATAAAAGAAGCTCCCAAAGAACCGGGTCTCGTCCACCCCAATCCTCAGCCAGCTGAAGCCCGCAGTACGCTATCGAGGTGAAAGGAGTATCCAGGCTGATGATCAAGTCTCTCCTGTTGCTGTCAAGCCATTTCGTATTTTGCTTGTCGATGGCATACCACGGAGGGTGCAACCCTCCCACATTGGAGCCCCCAGGGTTGGTCGCGGTGGCAGCAGATAAATCAATCTGATTCATATCTGGGTCGATCAAGTAGACTTCCTTCAGGGCTACGTATTGGCCTCCAGCATCTCGAGTCTGCAGGGTTCGAAATCTCGCATACTGCGCGAAATAGGTATTGGCTGACGAAACGATTTGGCAACAAAGAGAAAAGAGGAGCCAAGGAAAGGCATGGCGCATGATCCGATCAACACAAACTTGGGAGTCGAAGTGACAACGTGCACTGCTCATGCTGAAGAAGGATCTGGAATGCCAAAATGCTGTCATTACCCGCATGCAAGCCGTGGCGTGTCACGTATAGCACTTGGAAAAAGCTAGGTCTGCAACAGAGCGGGAACTATAGGCATTCTTTGAAGGTGGGGCACACTCCTGCTTGATCCTTCAAACACCCAAAGGCAGTCTTGCTGCTACCTCAGCCTCCTAAAAAAAACACATCTCACACATCTCTCTCTCACACACACACACACCCCGACGACCACTTCTTCATGGTTCCCGTGTTCATGCAGGGTTTTGTATTTATCCGAAGTTGCTGTGCGGCGATCTTTTTGCCCATACTGTACTCGATGTGGAGCAATGCATCGGATAATGCGCCCTTGCCTGTTTCAAAGGCCTGATCAACTCCAAAAGGATGTGGCGTGTTGACACGAACGCTCGTTATTCAATCAGACCTCTTGGGCCCGGATCATTCTTCTACGACGTTGTAACCCTAAATCTTGAACCCTATCCTTAAACCCTAACCCAAACCACCCTAAACCCTAAACCCTTAGCCCTAAACCCTAAACCCCTAACCCTAAACCCTAAACCCGCGGAGCCCGCAGAGGTGCCTTTGCGCTCCCTTCCGCTTCTCCGGGTCATCGCTGCCCAGCGCTTCGGCCGCCGCGCGGGAGGCCTCGTAGTAGTTGCCGCTTGCCTTGGTTTAGGGGTTAGGGTTTGGGTTCTTTTTCCACCCGTGTCGCAAGCGTTTACGGGGAAAAGGTCAGACATTAGAAGAGCCTAAGTTCAGACTGGGATCTTACATGGCTTCGGGTTTTTTCCCACCCGTTTCGCAAGCGTTTACGGGGAAAAGGTCCGACATTAGAAGAGCCTAAGTTCAGACTGGGATCTTACATGGCTTCGGGTTTGGGGTTTAGGGTTTAGGGCTTGGGGTTCAGGGTTGGAGGTCGAGGGTTGAGGGTTTAGGGTTTTTTGGTTTAGTGTTAGGGGGTTTCGGGCTTTGGTTTGTGTTCATCCACGCGATATACAGGGTAAAAGCTGACTGGATCCTGATCTCACATTGAGATGTATCGACAGGCTTGGCCGAAGATAACAAGCCCAGTGACCCTGCCCTCCTACATCTCTAAGACTCTACGATGACATACTTTTAACACCTGGGTATTGAAGTCTTGCGCAGGAGCCTCTTGAACCCTACCGGTATTTTCGGTACATCACCACAACCCCCCCGCGCTGTTGCTTCCGGACTCCTGCCTGTTCTCACACTTTAACAAAAACTTAGCAGCCCTACAACCTTAACGATCCTAAGCCCTCTCAACCCTCAACCCTCAACCCTCTAAACCCTCTTTAGGGCCCCTGTCCCACTTGCGCCACCTCCGCACCCGGCTGGCGGTTTGCACTCAGCCCGCCCAGCTTCTCCAGGGCCGCCTGACTGTAACTACTGTATTTCCTTAAGAAGCGCCAAAAACTATAGATTCTTTGTGGTGAGGGAAGGTACGAACCATTCCGAACCCACAAGTGCCCATCCTGCGCCGCCCGCCGCGCACCACTCTCAGCATGTCCCAGACGTTGCGCGGCCACCGTGATGGCCTCCCCAGCTGACTTGTCGGCTTGTAAGGCATAAGGGTGAGCTACAAGGAGCGAAGACCTGAATCAGGGGGTGCCACATCAAACTCCGAGGGCTCAGCGCATGCTCCTGAACCCAACGCCTCTTCGGCGTCTTTCGATTTTAGACTTCAAGGATGCTTGGCATGCTCAAACATTTCATGGCACCCGAAGCCTACAAATCTATCGTACCCTAAACCCTGCACCCAAAAAACTACACACCCTTACCCTTTAGCCCTAACCCAATGTGGCCAAGCCCACGCCCTGAGCTCCCAAACCCGAACACCCTCCCCCGGCCTGCACGCTGCGATTCCGCCCGCCTCCAACAGCACGCAAATGCGCACAATCACTCAATGTGGGGGGGGGGTATGTTTTAGGCTTAGGGTTTCTGCTAGGTTTAGGGTTTGGGTTTAGGGTTTAGGGTTCTTTAACGAAGGCCCGCGTTTCAGGGCTTTTGGCATATTGGTTCGTGACACTGTTTTTTGCCTTTCGGGTTCCGGGTTTTGCCACCCGCCCGGGACGCATTCGAACAGTGCCGTGACTACCTCAGAGAACCACGAAGCTGGATACTCATTCCACTCAGACAGTTTTCGGGTGTAGGGAATTGGGCTCGGTGAAGAATGGCATGCATCATACCTTGGACCGCTCTAAGGTCTGAAAGGCTGCCAGCCAGATATTACAGGGCTTTCGGGCTTAGTGGTATTGGGTTTATAGGACTCCTATTTGCTTTAAAAACCCCCAAAAGAACAACGATCTTGTGTTTTTCTTTGTGTTTTTTTCGAGCGGGCGGGGGGGGGGGGGGGGGTTCTTAGGCAATAAATAGAGGATTCAGGGGAGTTTCCCATCCAGAGGCCACCTCCCCTGCCGTCGTTGGTCAGCCCGCAGAGCACCTGGGCCCGTTGACTTGGGCTTAGGGTTTAGGGTTTAGGGTTGGCAGGGTCTGATGCCTTACATGCGCCCAGGCCAGCTCCTCTGGCTGACAAGCCAAGGTTGGGTTCGAGGTGTACACGTGAGGCTAGGTATCTTCGCATGTGACGACTTGACGCGTCGCTCCCCCCCCCCCCGGGGCTCTGTAACTCATAGCCTCTGGTACACAAAGGGAAGTCAGTTCCCCAAAAACCCCGTTTAGCAACCGAAATGCAATAGCATCGGCTGCAGTGCTTAGGGTTTGTCGTCTGTGGACTTGACCCTGGCACTGCACAAGCCGCCAGGATGCGGAGGTCGCCACATTCCGGACGTCGGCATCGGGATCTTCGAAGCAGGAAGCGATGAGCTCTAGGATGGCAGACAAGTCGTCTTTGCCGAGTGTTTCGGCAGGGCCGCCCTGCGTGAGCAAAAGCAATCACAACTGGATGGGCAACTGAGAACTAGATGATGCAGCATTCACCGCGCCCGCTCTTCGTCGTCGGGTCACTCTCAGCTACTTGCCCAGAAACAATATCTGATGGAAGTACGTATAACATATGTGTATATATATATATATTGTGATGGATTTAGAAATCATTATTGTTATTACTATTCTTCTTCTTCCTCTTCTTCGTCTTCTTCTTATTCTTATTCTTATCATTACTGTTATTATCATCATCACCATTGTTCTTAATCTACCTCGGTGCCAACCTGTGGGCTCTGGATGGCATCCGAAGCCGCGAAGAGGCACGCCACGGCTTCCAGCGCCGAGCACCGGCACGCCGGCTGCATGGAGGATCGGTTCCTCAAAGGAGGTGAGCTTCGAAAAATCCCATCTTAAGACTCGCTCTCTCGAAAGCTCTGAAACCCCATGTATCAGAAAGCTGTAGTAAGATAGAAGCTGTTCCTCGGACGAAATGAGGGGGTGGGGCGGGGTCTGCTTGCTATCGAAGGCTCTCCAACATGCCCTGCACAGTCTGCAGGGCTTGTTGCCAAGCTTCGGGGCCAAACTCTCCCATAATGCGGATGGCTTCCTGGCGCACCACGGCTGCTGGATCCTGCAACCCAAGTCGGGCCGTAGCCTGGGCAGCCTTCATGGCCCATTGGTTCCGTTCTTGCACCTTCCTGATTTCCGACGTGCTCTCCTTCTCCTTCTCGCGCTCGTCACCCTCTGTGGCCGTCCCAGGCGGGTGCTCCTCGCCAGCCTTTGCAAACTCAGCCAGGGTCCCTAGGGCTGCACACCGCGTGGGCTCGTCATAGCCGTGCGATATCCGGCAGCAGACCGCCCCCACAGAGATGCTCGTGGGCCCCACGCGCTTCAGCAGCAGGCAAGCCTCATCCTTCCTTGGCTCATCGCACGTCGTACAAGCACGGCTTTAAACAAACGATCGATCTCAGAATGTCTCTGCGTTAACTTGGATTATTCCCGAGCTTCACGTCCGGGTCAAGGTATGCCAGGAGTTCGGCGATGGCCTGTGCAGCTGCCTCCTCGTGTCCGGAGGTATTCGCGCTGCGGTATAAAGTCGCTCCGGCTTTGTCCCGCACCTCCTTCCGGGATGTTCTTCGGATCAGATGGCAGCTATCAGAATCGCAGACCGGCGTTTGAATGCTAATTCCCAACGCTCCTCCCAAAAGCCCCCCCCCCCCCCCGTCCCCATGTCCCTTGCGGAGCGCCTACGCAACCGTGTGGAACCATTTAAAACAACCTTCTAGTCAACGCTGAGCACCCCAAAACAAGTGTTTTCAAACTCCTAAACCCGAAAAACCCTAAACCCAAAAGAGAAAAGGAAAAGCACCCACAACCACACCCCCCCGCCTTGTCTCGGTGGTGAAGGGCACGAGCAAAGGCCTCCTCAAGGCCGCCCGGGGTCCTTAAAGACCAACTGTACCCCACATCGGGATCACAACTATAAGCCCTATTGCGGTATATGAACCCTAAACCCTGTACGACTCTACTCCCTACTAGGGTGGATGAACCCTAAACCCCGAACCCGAAAAAACTCTTTAGGGCTGATTTGGGCCCCAAGGGTCTGAGAGCCCAAGTCGGACAGCCGATCCAAAGTGCCAAGTGCTTCCAAGGACACGAAGCCTGGGCTCTCGCACACAAAAAGGCTTGGGTCGAAGGAGCTTCTAACAAGTCGGAACTGAAATCTTTGGGGCTTTGGGGGTGCAGACGGGGCTTGGGGGTTGTTTTGGGAGTTGGAGGGCCAGGGGAGTCGCTTCGGGGGTTCTTTGGGGGTTGTGGGGGTTTAGCAAGGGAGTCTGCTGAGCTGTCAGCCTCAGCTGTCCAGGGCGTATCAGGTGAACATCAACGAAGTTGGGCCAGAACCACAACTCTGCAAAACCCACGGGTGGTTTCGAACTTTGCAGGGGTTAGGAGGGGTCAGGAGGGTCCTTTTTCGGGGGAGGGGAGGGGAAGGGTTCTGCCTATAGCATAACCCTAGTTTTTGGAGACTCCCGTGCTGATATGGGAGAAGGGGTTGAGTTACAGGATGATTTTTTTCCGGGTCTGAACGAAAAATAGCATCATCTGCTACAAAGAACACCCCCCCAGAAGGGTAGCCGCGTATCATAGATCATGCAGTTGGAGCAGCTATTCCAGTCTGTGACCAGGCCCTGGATGGCCTTGCTGCAGGTAGAGACGTGGTTTCGGGTTTGGGCTTAGGGCTTTAAAGCTTTGTAGTTTCCAAAGTTTAGGGCTTTACAGTTTTGCAGTCAAGCTCAAGTTTGCCACCCTGACAGAATCCAAGCGTTCGCCCCCTGTCGCAAAGTCTACGCCCAGATCAGCCCAAAGCCCCTTCAGCGTTGCAATCTCGCCAAAGAATCCCCCCCCCCGTCTCCCCTCGCAGTCTTTTTGGGGCGGGAGACGGGCACGTTACACAGTACCATGAAAGCACCACAGCAAGTCCCAGAAATAAAGGCCTAACAGTCATTAATAAGTAGCAAAACATGCCATCACCACCATCACCATCTGCACCACCTAACATCCCGAACCTCTTAAGCCTACTCAGGGCCTCCATCGCGTCCGTCAGGTCCTTCTGCTCTACAGCCGCTTCGCCGGCGACCTGCTCTCCAAAGACTGCGACCCTAGCGTGACACAGGGAACCTGACCCCTAAATGGAGGCCGAACTCGGAAAGGAAACTAGACCCTAACCCCTCAAAAGCGGGTAAGGGTTCTGCTGCCTGAGGCAAAACTCCATGTCGGGGCATTTGTGGACCCGAAAGCAACAAGAGTTCCACAAGTAAAGGTGAAGTATGCCCGAAGCCCTCCCGTGCAGTCGCAACAACCCACAGCGTTTTTGCTGGACATCCGGACATTCTTTGGCTGATTCGTGGGTGGAACGTGGAGCCCTTCGTTACATTCGGTGGCCCTGGGTTCTCCCCCCAACTACCACAGACGGAACTGAGTTTTTCTGTTTCTTCATCCCAGCGCTCCCTTGATGCACGGATGCGCGACCTTCTGAGGGGCGCTCGGCTTTGCTGTTGGGTTTGGGACTGTGGCGTGTGGAGTACATACTCATGCCATGCTTTCGCAGAACACACTAAGGCCTTGGATTCCACAACTCCAAAAACGCTCGAAAGCACGACGAGCCATACTCACCTTTTGCAGCCTGTCGCATCCCTCAACTTGAACGTGCACCCGGGTTCACCCTCATCCCAGGCCTGAACATAACATCCTTAACTATGCCCAGTAGCACACAGGGCGCAACTCGCCCGAAGCGCTGCACATCGAACCTTCTTGCAAGGAGGGCTTCGGAGCTTTGACAAGCCCAATAGGCCTTGGGCTCTGAGGCCTCTCACACTTTGGGGCGCTGACGTGTGTTTGCGATGCAAAAGGCGCAACCGCGCGGGTTGCGTGGATCTCTGCACCTAAGTATAAGAACTGACAACTAATTCTGTTCCGCAAGCCGAGTCTGGTACCGCAGGGGTCCAAGAACGAGATGCCCCAAAAACTGACATGATCAGGACCTCCACACCCCCACAAATCATCCCACATCTATCCTGAAGCAACCTTAGGTTTCTTTTGCCACCCGCATGACTGACACAACCATCTGCTCGTCAACTTCAGCACTACTACTTTCGCAGGTTTAGGTTTGTTCTAGGGAGTAGGGTTTAGGGTTCGGGTCCGGCACAGCCTGAACTCCAGCCCTGAATGTGGAGAGTCGACAGCTACGGAGGCAAGGGATGACTCGCAACTGTTTCAACGACAACCGGCCTGCCACATTGCGTCGCCTGTTGCTTCCAGCGCCGCAGGAAGGAAGTCAACATTGGCCTGGCAGGGAGGGGAGACTTCTGAGTTTGCCTAGACCCCTTCATTGCAGGTGTTCTTTTTTGAGTCCATGTTGCCGGGGAAGGGGGAGGGGAGGGTGGGGGGGGTAAAGGGGGGGAGGTACTCCGCCCTCCAAAAGGAGGGCGGCAAAACCCTAAATCCACTCATCGACTTGCAACCAGAAGCTTTAGGAGCAAGCCTCGCAACAACGAGTGGCTCGTGAGGTGGCGACAGCCCCGACTCCCTTTCGCACTGCCCACCCAAGCATCCATGCAGCCGGCACTCACCCACCTCTTCACCAACGCACCCACGCACGCACCCACTCACCCACTCAACCTCTCAGCCTCTCACCCACTCAGTCAGGCACGCGCTCACTAACGAAGGCCAACCAGGCCCAATCCAACCCAGCCCAACCCATCATAGTTCCTTGTCGCACTTGCCACTAACCCCATCCTCCAGCACCTGACAACCCTACACACGCATACACACACCACCACCACCACCACCACCAGCGCCGCCGCCACCACCACCACCACCACCACCAGCACCAGCACCAGCACCAGCACCAGCACCAGCACCAGCACCAGCACCAGCACCAGCACCAGCACCACCACCAGCACCACCCCACCACCACCACCACCACCCCCACCACCACCACCACCGCTGAGCCACAATTTGCATTCTGCCGTCGCCGGCATCTCCCCTATCTCTGAACTAAACTTGTCAAGTTTGTTGGAAGCTGCCGCTGACCAAAATGAAGGAGACACTCCTCCATCTCCTTCTGCCAAGTGCGCCTTTCCCCCGGGTCTGAAAAGCTGCCCATCAGGAGGCGGTGCAAGCTCGTCATATAGTTCATGTCCCGGTATTGGACGCCGGCTCCATATATTTTGGCCTGCTGTGATAGGACTTCCCGCTTCAACTCAATGAACCTTTTCATGGATGCCCCCTGCTGTGCACCAGGCACCTTAGACAAGAAATAATGCGCATTCGCTAAGTTGTTCATGAGCTGTAGCACCTGTTGATGTCGAGGAGGCGCAGGGTGACGTGATGTTGCATCATTCCAGGCTCTCTCGAGCAATTCCACGAGTCTGGCCGGATGTGCTTGCATTGCTTCTAGCGTTTGCATGAAGTCATTCGCAGCCTCAACGGTGTCCACCAGCGTAGCAAGACTAGCTTCAGAATCCACTGAGCGACCGCAAGCCGCGCAAGCCTGCGAGCCGCCCGTCATGGGCATGCCAGGCAGCTGCATACCACCAAGCAGGTTCAACACGCTCCCTCCGCACCTGCAGGGCACATCAAACTGTGGATCGCCTTCAGCTTCTTCTCTGACACACCTTGGGCACGCACACTGAAAACCTTTGCCGGCAAGTGTTTGCCGCCTCTCTGTCAGAGGCATGGTGAGAGGCAGGTAGGGTATGCAAACCTCGTCCCCGACGTCTATGTCTTGCAAGGCCCGCACAACTACCTGGTCACGGGACGTGTCAGCGACCGCATTCGGGCAACATGAATGTTTGAAGAGCGATGTCTTCAAGTAAAGCGCAGCAAAGTCGGGGTCCCTGCTGCACTGAAAGGAATTGTTTTCCATGATCGCCACCAGCTTTGGCTTCCCAATTCTGGACATCGGATGCCCCACCGAAAGCGCCATCAAGTCATCTTCAGCCTGAGGCGAAAGCGCCTTTCGAAGCTTGCTATGGCAAATCGCCGCCATTTTCTCTGCATTTTCCGGGCCGACCGGTGCAAAGCAAAAAGAGGGCTCAAAAAGGACGATGTGCCCTGCTGTGATGTGCTTTTTTGCGCGAAATCCCTTGCCCTTGCCAGGCACGTCCACCAGCTCAAGGCAGCCTGCAATCACTGGCCGTAAAGACTCCGATGATATGCCGTATCTACCGCCAGGGCTCATCTCCACAGTCCAATGGCCGCGCTGCGAGTGGCTCCCTTGAATCGTGCCTATACAACCATTCAACTTGGCACCCGACATCCAGAACAGACTCATTTGCACCTGCAGCCTGCGGCCCCGTGGCTTGCATAGCTTGCAAGCGCACCCAACGCCTGCTTGGACACCTCGAACGCCTCAACGATCTAAGACGTTTCACCGCGACACGCGTCGACCCCAGACCTGCAACGACTGCGGCCCCACTGGCATGCCACCCTGATACAGCTGCCGGCGTCAACTCGTGCTTTGCTTGCCACGAGCCTGCATGGAGGCCCATCTTGTGGCCTGGCCCTGCAGGAGCAACCAGTAGCGATGGTGAACTGTATGTTGCCAGCATGTTGATGACTGCAAAGCTCGGCTGGGCTTTCCTGCTAGACCGAAATGATGTCGGCCAGCATGGCTCCGTGCTCTGGCCTTTACGTAAAGGGATATGGGGACGGGAAAACGAGAACCCCGCACAACCCTTCCCAGGAAGTGGCTGACGAACACCAGCTGGGGGCTAGGAATGCGCTCGGGACGGGAGGGTAGGAGGGTGAGTTGCGCTGGGCCGTGCTGTAGCTTTGCTGAGGTATGCAAGAGCATCATGTTGTTTGCGGTGGCTTGCTGGGGATTACCAGAAGAAGCAGGTGACTGTAGATATATAATGGCATTGCAATAAATAAATAAATATATATATATATATACATATATGTATATATACATACAGAGCCATAATATAGCAAGATCAGTATATATATATATATATATATATGTATTCAAAACCATAATATAACAAGAGCATGATATCTCAAGATCACAATGCACACGATAGCCTGGACCCCTTTGCCGCCCGCGCCTCTGAAGCCAGCTCAACCAAGAGATTCAGGGTAGCCTCGCGTACCTTCAAGGGTAGTTCCCGGTCTTCGGCTGAATGCTCGCAGGTTTTGGCATGTCGTGGGTCAAGCAAGCCACACGCCCATGCTCCCAGCCTTTGGCCGCAGTTCTGCTAGAAGCTGCTAGAACCGTTCGCAAGGACAATGATGCGAACTCTTAATGAAGCGCTGTTGTTTTCTCTGTCTGCCATTTTTCTGGTAACGAAATAACGAAGCGATGCAACGCACGAAAACAATAGAAGGAAACGTAGGACCAGTTGGTAACGTACCTCACATCGCTGGTTTCAAACACGTACTTGAGGGGGCAATTTGTGGCCTCCTGGTCGTTTCTTCGGGTCTTGCCACGCTTTCTCAGGTCCTTCACTCTCTTACCGCAGCCGCCAATGCACTTCGTGCCCCACCGCACCCTGGACCTCCGCTCCTGTACCCAAATTCATATACCTTGGGGCTTACGATATGGGGGGGGGTACCTTACAGGGCTCCTTCTTGTAAGGGGATCCTACTATGGGCTACTTTAGGGGACCCTTATTATCGTAAAGCCCCACCTATCCCTGGTACATGTACCAAAGCATTGATATGGACACACAGTGTCACAGAGCAAGACCTGACACATACAGATGCATGGCCTCGACACACCCTGGACCCCGAGTGTTCGAAGACGGGCCCTCGTTGTGGGACTTAAACTAAGATACCACAACAGGGCGACTACTGTGAAATATCGCGACATGGTATGTGGCCCTCACTATGGTAAGCCTTTTGCAACTGGGACTTGGTGCTATGGCTGCTATGGTAAACCTAAACCCTAAACCCTAAACCCTAAACTTAAGTTCCGAGCACCCAGAGAGGGGGCCTGCCAACAGGGGTCTGAGGTGGCCATGGTCCGCAGCATGCGCTTGGCTTGAGCCTGCGCGCGGCTCGGGTGTTTGGGGTTTAGGGCCTTCGGGTTTAGGGTTCATAATAGGGTTCACAGGGTTCAAGGGTTTATAGGGTTTATAGGGTTTGAAAAAGAGGGTTTGGAGGGTTTAGAGGGCCTAGGTTCTTGGCCTTGCTCTGATTTGAGACAGCGTCTCTTGAGCCCATTCGAGCCCAAAAGTCGGACTTTTTCGGACGTCAAAGGCTCCCGGGTTCAATGCTAAGGCTGCGAAGGATTTTAAGTAGGGTAGGTTTCGGTGCGCATTCTGCAGGAACCGCCTGGGGGGCGCCTCCAGTCTTGATCTGAAAGTGCCCTAGGATGAGAATGGTCACGCGCACATGCCAAAGCCGAGCAAAAAAGCACCTCAGTCAATTCCTTGTTCCAGCCAAATTTGTTGGATGCGCCAGCAAACTGAAACCACCCGATGATAGCCAGCTCTAAATCTCCGAGGGCTACATGCCTCGCCTTGCGCTGTGCGACGTAGGCGGGGCCCTCTTTGGTGGACCCGCCGGGCGCGATGCCGGCAGCCCCAGCGACCTCTGCAGCAACCAGCCCCTGCTCATAAAAGCTCAGGGTTTAGGGGGTTTAGGGGTGGTCTAGGGGGTTCAGGGGTTTGGGGGTGTTTGGGGGGGTTTTGGAGGGGGTTTAGGGGGGTTTAGGTGATCTTTGCCGGAGGCTGTTCGTTGCCTTCCGAGTCCCCGGCGCCGCTGGGTTCTTGATTGTTTCTCGGTGCATGTACAATTATATGTACAAGTACGCATATCTTCCATTTTTATATTTTTGTATTGTATGACAACTACGAGTATATCCACAAACGGCATTCTTACGCTAATTTATTTTTCTGTTTTCTACTTCCATATTTTTTTTGCATCATTCTACTCCGCTAGCACCCGGCCTCCTTGAGGCCAGCTTGGCGCTTCTGCAGGTCTCCGGAGTTGAGAAGTGCCTCCACCCGCCTCTTTTGGGTCGCAGCAAGGATGGAACAAAACTGAGTCGGCTCGTTTGGAGGGGTTTTCTGCTAGACCTTACAAGCCCTAAACGGACTGCAAGCTCACACCCAGTGCCAAGTCTTTCAAACACCCGTGGCCTCCAGGACTGCATCTGCCCCTCCTTTTGGTGAACCTCCGGAGAAACAAGAAAGGAGAAGAGCAGGGGTTTCGGGTTTCGGGTTTCGGGTTTGGGGTTCAGGGTTCAATGTTTAGGCTTTAGGAGGGGAAAGGGTGAAGGTAGATAAGCGTTCAGGGTGTACTTGGCAGACTGACTGTAGGTGAGTGGCGGCTTCCTTGAAACACCCAACCGCTCCACAACACTTCCACTCTGACATTCTCCCGAATCAACTGTCCCCCTGAGCTGAGATGCTTGTCTGACGGGTGGCCTTGCGCATCTTTTCCGCGATTGACGGGCCACCTTCAGCATGTAGTGGCACGCACGCCGAAAACAAAAAAGCGAGGGGATCAGATTAGATCATTGTCTCAGAACAGCGTATCCCAAACATGTGGCACATACTGCTCTCTCTTCTGAAGCACAACGCCCGCACTCTCAGTCCAGTCAGCCAGATATCCACTAAGCCTCTGAGCTCTACCGTCTCTACAGACTGAGAGGTCTGACGATGCGAAGGGAGGAGACCACACCACAAAACCACGAAAACCAGGGGTTCTTGAGGACTCCTAAGCCCGGGAACAAAGCCCCATAAGCCCCTACAAAGTCCCTCAGCTCGAAGACCTAAGCGCTAAACCAAACCTCTAAACCCTAAACGCTCAACCCTAAACCAGAAAATCTGGAGCCTCCTTCCCCGCCCATGGCTTTCAGCGTCTTCGTGTTCTTGGCCGCCAGCTTGCCGATGAAGGCCTTCCTGGGTTGAGGGAGGGTTTAGGGTTTAGGGTAAGGGGTTTGGGGTTTGGGGTTTGGGGTTTGGGGTTTGGGGTTTGGGGTTTGGGGTAAGGGTTTAGGGTTTGGGGTTATTGGGTTTAATTAGGGTTCAGGGGGGAAGACTGATGCACTACAATTAAGCTATGTTCAGGGTGTTAGGGTGGAGAGGCTTAGCGTCCTCTTTTGCGTTGCTGCTAAGGAAAGCAACTAGACTTACCGAAAAAGGACAGCCCTGTGGCCAGATTTCGTCATGTCTTCATAATGTACATATATATATATATATACATACATATCAATATGCATATATACATACACTATATACATATATGCAGATGCATACATGCATGCCGTAAACGCATGTATCGAAACCCCTACTAGGGCAAATTAACTGAACATCCGGAATAGCAACCTTTCGACCTGGCCCTTGGAGAGCGCTTCCACATGTCCTTTGGTTTCAGGCCCCATGGCATCTTGGGGAGCCCGGTTTTCTTGTGGAGCTTGCTAGTTAGAAGAAACCAAAAAGCCACATAGACGTAAGGATTCTGCACCCGGGGATTTCCCGAATGCCCCCGTTTAACTGTTTAGGGGGGGGGGGGTGGGGGATCCTTGTGTTTATGTATGTGGTTTCTGCTATGTGGTTTGCAGGCCCCGATTTTCTAGGGTGTGCCTCCCGCCAAGCAGACCGGCCTGAACCTTTCGAGTTTTTGTGACAGTGCCCTCTTGGAGCAAGATCTGTGGGGTCAGGTTTAGGAGCTTGCTTCTGGCCTGAGGTGTAGGGCTTCGGCTCTCGCGCTCGCACAAGGCAGGCAAGGACTAGGGCTTTTGGCTGCAGGGCTCTTGCCACCTGCGTACTGTAGCAGCTTGCAACCACACTGCAGGGATGGGGTTGAGGCTTTAGGGTTGCGCGTTGGATTTGGTTTCCTTGCTGGGGGCTTTTCTTTCAAGATGCCTGACTGAGATGTATCCAGCTTTAAGAACTTTAAGTTCCTTCAACGGCTGTCCCTGATAGGCTTCTGCACCCGAACTCCCCAATCATCATGTCGGTACAAGGCACATCGGTTTAGGCATGCCGTGAACCCTAACTCCTTTTTGCCTGTGCCGCAATGCCCCCGCCTCCCCCCCAAACCAGCCACCCCCCCTGAAGCCCTAAGAAGTGTAGCCCGGGGCGCTTCACAGCATCCTGCAGACGCTTTTTAGGAGCTGTGCGTTCGGACTTCGCGTCGTTGGAGGAGCCTCGATCTACGGGTTTCAAGTTTAGGGATTGTACCACCCCAAACTACAATGTACATAATTAAGCCCCTCCGTGCTTATGGATAGGGCATGTCTACCGTCCTTACCTGTTCAAGCTTCCCTGTCTCCCAAGAATGAGCCGAAACCCTCCTGAACCCGAAGCCCGAACCCCCTCTAACCCCTAAGCCTGAATTCTAAACAACTTATGAAGGCAAGCGCGGTGTGAGGCTGCTAAGAAGAGGTGAGGTGCAGCTTCGGGTGCTGCAAAGTTATGCCGCTTGCTGCCACAAGCGCTGAAAGAGCCATCCGAGTCATCGCTGCCTGAAGAGTCCTCCCACTCTTCCTCCTCCTCCGGCTCGATCTGCTCCTGATGACGAGCGTGCGAGTGGTTTCCCTTGCAAATCGGTTATTGCCCTGTCTACTTATGGCCCCGAATCCTATCTCATCTTCGTCACAGGTGTCCCAAGGGCACGGGAACCCTAACCCTAAGCCCCTATTGGCTCAACCACTGAAGTCCTGTGAAGCCGACGGCATGTTGTTGTTGGCGGCCCTGCTGCGATCCGCCATGGCATTGAGCCTAGGAGGGTGGGGGCTTGGGGTCCATAGGGTTCAGGGTTTAGGGTTTGATACCCCCTAGACTTGTAGGGCATGCGCACAAGCTAGGAGAGGCCTCCCCCAAGAAAAGACCGGAATTCAGATTCTGCGCGTTGGCGCCTTGAGACCTCATGCCGGTATGTGCCCGCAAAGAGGTCAGAAACAAGGGCTTACCCCTCTTCCCCTAAACCTGTAAGGCTTGCGGGGCTCCAACCCCTTGGCAGTGGAGCAACGTGTCCAGGACCACGGAGGCAGCGATGCGGTCTTTCGAATCATCATCCTTCGGGGGTGATTCAAGGCTTGCGGGCGCTCGCAAGTGCCAACATTGAAACTGAATGATGGCTTGCCTGGACTACTTGCAGGCTCATGGTACTTATTTTTTGCCAAGTATACTGACAATCCAAATTTAACCCTATTAGGGTACTTAAGGGGCTCATAAGTGAGTTACAACATGTTAAGTGCCCTGAACCTCCAAGAAGCGCTCCGCAGCTGTTGGTTTAGGGCCGGGATTCGACAGCCAGTTTCATCCGCAGTCTGTTTGAGTGTCCGGTTGATGAGTGCAAAAACCCAACTGCTACGAGTAGGAAGATGTTTTCCAACAGCTACGCAAGCTCAGATGAAGACGTTCAAACATGTCAACAAAATTGCCATTGTACAGTGCGAGACTTTCGAAAATACTTCTGATGAAACTGTTCGCGCTTTCTTCGTGCTCTCCTGCGCCTCGCCGTTTGCGCGAAGCTCGGCCCGATCCAGCATTGCAATGACCACGGACAGCTCCTCATTGCTGACCTGGTCTCAGAGTTCTACTGCAAGCAATAATATATAGATATATATATATATACATGTATATATATATATATATCTAATATATATATACATATATACATTTATATATATATATATGTACATTTATGTATAAAGATATAAAGAAACGTAACGACCCTAAAACCTACGGCATCCTACAGCCCCTAAAGCTTCCGATCCTCTAGTTGCACGACGCCATGCTTCTTCTGGACTTCTACACAGACACCGCGGACCATGAAGCACAGTGACGACACTAGCCAACATCGCGGGCGTTCTACAGCATTCATAAGACCCTGAACCTTCAAGTTCACCCAGCATCCAGCAACCGCAAGCTGCTGAGTACTTGTGACGCGATCATCCGGGCAAGTAGCCCCTTTGATGTGGGCAGCTCCGGGTTAGGATTCAATACTGCGTCCTTGCTTTTTCTATAGAAACCTGAACGATCAGGACTCCACGCCCGGATCCTTGTTTCCAATACTCAGGGTCTACTGAAAGCCCAAGGGGCCTTTGGAAAGGTCTCCTCATTCTCGTCATCCAACATATCATTGTACTGCCTCTGCAGTTTGGGCTTAGGGTTGTTTGATCCTGGTGCCTGGGGCTAATGCTGGCTTGGCAGTCCTGAACCCAATCCCAGTCGCGACAACCGATCTGCATCTTTCCGGGAAAATGCAGGGCTTAGGGTTTGAGAGCTTCTTGCCACCTCTCCAGCCACGCACTATGGGGTCCAGGGTTTACAGTAGGGTTTCTGGTTTAGAACGAGACGGACAGAGAAGGGGCGCTAACTTAAAGCTCTAGTACGGGTCAAAAGCCCTAAAGCCCTAAAGCCTTAAGCCCTGAACCCTAAAACCCTAAACCCTGAATCCTCAACCCTAAACCCTGAACCCTGAACCCTGAAGGCCTAAAGCCCTAAAGCCCTAAGAAGCATCCTGTGCCGGCCTGCGCGGCTGCAGCGTGGCCAGCTGCGAGGAGCGGAGCATGTCCATCCTGGAGGGGCTTGGGGTTTAGGGTTTCAGGTTTAGGGTTCAAGGTTTAGGGTTTAGGGTTTAGGGTTTAGGGTTTAGGGTTTAGGGTTTAGGGTTTAGGGTTTAGGGTTTTGGGTCTTATGTTGCCTCCTGCCAGGCGAGCTTTTTGGATTAGGGGTCTACAGGGGTCTAGGGGGGCTTAGGGGCTTAAGGTGTATAATAGGATTTGGGGTTTTTGGGGCTTCACCGGTTTGAGGGTTAGGGGGGATCAGGGTTAGGGCTCAGAGAGTTTGTCTGGCCGCGCCGTGCCGGGCAAACCTGCCCCGAGGTTGTACCCGCAAAGCCACGACATAGCCTCCCTTCCAGCCATAGACTAAGCGTCTCCGAAACAGTCACACGAATAATCCGCATTCATTCGTGAGCGGAAGCCGACCCTTGGAGGAGCCCGCACATTTTGCCCAGCACCGCTCTCAGAACCCGAGGTTCCGCGAGGGACTGCCACGCAGAGCGCTGAAG